CAGCCCTAACTATAAACCTGAGCCAGCCCTAACTATAAACCTGAGTCAGCCCTAACTATAAACCTGAGTCAGCCCTAACTATAAACCTGAACCAGCCCTTGTATGAATGTTAGTTAGAGACCCGATGGGCAGGTGGCACCTTGATGGTAGCCTCTGGCATCAGTGTATGAATGGGTAAATGATGACATGTAGTGTTAAAGTGCTTTGAGTGGTCGGAAGATTAGAAAAGCACTATTTACCATTTACCAATAACTACTTGAAACACAATTACCAAAACCTGTGACTCATGTACCAAACCCCTGAACCAATTCTGCAAAAATACAAGCACATTTCCTGTGACGAGCGACCCCCATTTGGGTGCTGAGCGAGACCGTTTAGGGTGATACCGTGGTTCCCAATGGATTTTTTATCAAGAAATATCAAAAATGCTCCAAACATATTAAATACCGGACTAACAAAAGAAGTCTGGGCAAAATCGTCATACCAGCCATTTTACACAATTATCACAGTTATACACAAACTAATTCAATAAACTAGAAGATTTATCACAAATTCACGGATTTTTTCTCCAAAAATCGGCGAATTATGCACCCGATTTTCATCTTCCATCACAAAGCCAGCAGCGATCATGGCGGATGGATATATGATTCTGCACTAGGGCTCCATACCGAGTCGAATCACGGTCTCTGAATTCACCTCCGTCAAACCATTCAAAAGTTATAGGAACAAAGCCAACAAACAACACACTGCTCCCCAGAAAAAAAATTGAAAGTCAGCATACCTTTTGGTGATTTACGTGCCGAAAAACGCAGGTAATCCATTGAAATCTGATGCAGCGAAAATAGTCCCTTTCTCCGCTCTCTCTGCATTGAAATGAACGTGCTGCAACATTCTATGAAGAAATGGGCAGCATTTTTCTGCTGGACCAATGGATTTTACGCATAGGGGTTGTGCCAAGCATATCGAGATTTTTAGTGGATAAAAGGCTGTCAATCTTCGAAATAACCCGCGTAGTGCTTTCGTTACTCTCTTCCGCGTTCAACAAGGTGTCACATGATGAAATCCGCCAATCACAGGCCTTACAAAGGCTTACATAGACACGGACTGAGAGACATGAGAGCTGAAAATGGCTGAAAATGATGCCAAACTGCTTTATTATGATGTATTGAACACTCTTAGTGATAAGGCAAGTGAATATATAGTTAATATGTAGTTATATAGTATATAAAATTAGAATAGAGCAGCGCAAAAGCTGGTTCCAAAAATGAGAATTCGGCTTGAAACTCTGTACTTAGACCTCATTTATGCTGGCCTGCTAAGTAAAATTTGCTTGTAGAGACCACAAACATGTTGTGCTATGACTGTGGAGTATTTTTAGGCTTCAATCTGTATTATTTCAAATAACTATTTTCAATAAAAGTGCTTTTTTTTCAGGCAAACCTGAAACTTTTCAATTTGAGCTGTGTGCCATCTTCATTCACTATTAACCAGTAACATATACACAATATTTACATATCTGAACAAGTCTCTCACAAGTTTTATCTGTATTATACCATCAAAATTATTTAAATAGACCTTGTACAGTCTTTTAAGTATGGGTATGCAATTTTCGAGCAGAGGCCTAAAAATAGGGCTAGGGGGCTGTCGTCACCAAATTAACACTCAGATTACAATTCTAATTCACACTTTTTTTCAAAACACTACACACTTCTCTAATATTTGGCACAATCTTCATAAATAAAGCTAGTTTTTACATGGAACACCAAATTTTAATGTATTCCTCACATTGGCAAACACATGTTGCACAATTGTTCAATTAGCAATCAGAGCTTTAGCAGTAAAAGAGCCACAGGTGAGCTCTTCTGTTTAAGAGCCATGGATGCCGACATAGAAGAGAGCGGCATAGCAAGACTGAGGGAAGAAGATGGGGAGGCCACATTCCCACTAGGTCGGCCATAGACCACACAGATGTTAGATGGATGTCAGTATGTGTGTTCAGTGGTGAACCTGAACATGAGCTTTGAGGTTTTCCTGTTTCTTGTTCAAACAGAGTTCAGAGAATGACTGCGACGAGGCCGGCGGCAGTCTGGCTCAGAGACAGAGGATCATCTTCTTAGAAAATAACCTGGAGCAGCTCAGCAAGGTCCACAAACAGGTAAGTGACCACACCTGTTCACCTTGATTACTGTTGTTAAACTCACAATCTTTACGCTCACTTCACTTAATACGATGACAAAGGTTGGAGATTTGCTATCACTCACAGTCCTTTTCTAAACAATGCATCCTCAATTTAATTGTATGACAGAAATAGATTCTCATTTCTAGCTTAAAACTATTGATTTTCCCAACTGAAATAACAACTGTGGGATTTTTTATCATCGTGTGTAAAGTTAGAGGAAGTTTCCCCACTTAATAACATATATATATATACATATTTGTATGTATATGTGTATATATATAAATATATATACTATATACAAACACATCTACATAGAACTCTGTTCAATTCACCTTTAAATGCACACCTCTCAAAAACTCGCTGAAACAACACCAACTGTGAGTCCAGCCTACTGTTTGACACAACATCTGTCTAATTGAGTTTGTAAATTTAACCCTTTGTATTCGTCAGCTTGTGCGGGACAATGGCGACCTTCGCTGCGAGCTACCTAAGCTAGAGAAGCGTCTGCGGGCCACAGCAGAGCGAGTGAAAGCTCTGGAAGCTGCCCTGAGAGATGCCAAGGAGTTGGCCGTAAGGGATCGCAAACGCTATCAACAGGAAGTGGACCGCATAAAAGAGGGTGTTCGCTCCAAGAACGTCTCCAGGAGAGGAAACTCTGCTCAGATAGGTGAGGACATGTTTGTTACAGCCCACAACTAACTAAACATACTAATGAGTCAGATCTTCAGGACTAACCTGAGGGCAGTGCCTGAGCAAAGGTTATTAAATGTAAAGGGTTCATCCTCTGAGGACTTTCCAGGATTTTAGTGTAAGTGTGTCTTGAAGATGGCTTTGGTCACCAGATTAGTTGTTCAGGTTAGAGTTAACACTTTGATGCGTCAGACTGAATCTGGTCCATGTTTGAAGAAGTCAACAGCTGATTCACCTTTCACCTGTCTCTATGTAGCCAAGCCAATCAGAGCCGGACATCAGCATCAGCAGCCGTCCTCCTCTCCATCCATCAGACTGACCATCCGAGGAGGGGGGGTGAGGTCCAGTCCACGTCATCACTCCCCCCAACAGCAACCACCTCAACAACCTGAAAAACAACAACCCCATCAGAGCCACATCAAGTAAGCTACAGGTGAGTTACAACCACAGCAACCACATCAACAACCATGGATCTGGGAGAGACTGTGGGATTAGAGAGGGTCTCCATAATTAGAATTTAAATATAATCTGTCTTTAAGGTTTGGGAGTCATGCTTCTTGATGTCAATATATATGCTCAGTATGTTGTGTTGAATAAATAGTGTGTTGATCAGCTTTGTTAACATCAAGCTACATAAATAAAAGTGAATCACTTCCTGTCTTCACAGGTGGCAGACAACATGAGTTTCCTTTTCTGTGGGTCTTTGAATTTCTGAACTCTCCTGCTCTCACCACTCTGCCTTTACTGGAACCAGACTCCTTGTTTACACAACTTCCCACCTAAACAGCCATTCCCCCTTAACAGCCAGCAAGTGCATTTCCTCATCTGAGTCTGTTCTTTTGTTTTTATCAGCTTTGATTCTCCAAGTCTGTTTGTTCTGACCAAGTTAGTTCAGTTCAATGAGTTAAATAATGCGTTTGATAAGTTAAATAATGAGTAAATAATAATGTTAAATGAGTCAAATAATGGCGTTAATGACGTAGAAAATTAAGTTGAACTGTTAAATTAGTTAAATAATGGGTTTAATAACATAAAAATTATAATCCTAATTATGTTAAATTAGTTTGGTAAGTTAAATAATGAGTTAATAATATGCTAAGTTAAATTAGTGAAATAATACTTTTAAAGTGGCAACAGACAACTTGCATGTATGTATTTTTTGTATCCTCGAATTTGCTGAAGCATTGTATTGATATTTTTTCGGCCAGTAATGACCTGCTCAGGAATTACAGATGAAAATTAGCTCATGAGCTATTTCCGACACATTTAAATTAAGGTAGATTCATAAGCAAAACGTAGTGTATATAGTACCACCTGGTACCAAAACCACTTAGAATTTCTAAAATTCTAATTATGTGTGTATTAATCAAACTGTCATTGTGTTGTTAAATGCCACATTTCCCACAAATAAAAAATAATTTGGGTTACCTGACCAAATCTATGTGACTCAAATCAGAAAGATTTCTTTGAATTGTTCTTATTTATTACAAAAACTGTACCGACCGGAGTGAGTTGAATTGCACAGATTAGAAAAATATTAATAATAATCTTCCAAACTGAAGTAAGATTGTCATTGAAATCTTTTCTCACGGATATAGAAGGGTTTGATTCTTTGTAGGTGAAATCACTGTATCGAACAGTAGAGTAGATTAAAAAAAAAAAGTGATCATATAAATATTTATTAAAATGTCAGTTTGTATTTGAGCGGTGACGTCATTATTGTGCCTAATCTGAGTCATCATACTCCATCTGGACTGAGCTTGTAACAAATTGCTGTATATTTACGGTGGATTTTCAACGGTATCTTACAGTATTTCATAATAACTGTAACATACAGTTAAATGTTAATCCCTCGCATGTAAATTAACAGTAAATGCCGTAAATTAACAGTCAATGCCATCAATTAACAATAACAGCAGACTACCGTAATTTAACAGCACAATACAGTATTTTTTGTGAAGTGGTGGATACACGCTTCTCTATACAAGTTCAGTGAATCACAATCCATCCACATCGTACTGTCTATTGTGGGTTAATGTGTCTGTAATGACATTAGACTATTTTTATTATTCAAACTGCTCATTGCCTAAAAGTCATTTTTGAGTGACAAGACGTGAGCGACTGCTCCTGAACGTGACTTTGGAAACAACAGCTTCAGTTCATCCTTCACAGCCATGTGGAGATCAACCGAGGAGTCGAGGTAACGTTACGCTTATAAGCCGAAATTCAAAGTCTCCAGTATTGTTTTGTCTTCATGATTATTGAACTGTTAACATCTCAGATAATGTTTCACTTGTTCTGTTTCATTACATTAGGTTGCTAATATTGGTGGAGCTAGCTCTGTGACGTTAGCTAGCTCGAGCTCAAGTAGCCTTAGAAAGGTTAGCTAGCTAACAGCATAGCAAGTTAACTTAAATAAAGTTAATCACCAATTTCAGTGTTAAGATGTAACGTTAGTAACCTAACTTGTGCTATTATTGAACCGTAGGACCGCAATCAGGACGATTATCAAAATGGAGAGAGGACCAGAAATCACCGACGTGTGTTCAAGATGATGAACAGTTGAGGTAACGCGAACAGTAACATTACGCGTGTGTGTTATCCCAGGAGCAACATTGAAACCAGATCAAACTCATTTTCGTGTTGAACGTTAGTCCATTGTGGTCCATTGTCTTAGCTTCATTTCTTCACCTAACGCAGGGGTCGGCAACCTGCGGCTCCGGAGCCGCATGCGGCTCTTCAGCCCCTCTGTTGCGGCTCCCTGAGTCCACATTCACACTAATATGTTTTCGTTTTAAACGATCTCCGTCCACACGGCGTTTCAGCATCGTTTTCTAGATGATTAAACGCCTGAAATCGAATATCACGTGAGTCTTCGACTGTGGCTTTGGGGGCGACCGTGGCTCACTGGCTTAAGAGGGTTGTCTGGTAACCGCAGGGTCAACAGTTCGATCCTCGACTGGGACGTGTCAAGTGTTGAAGTGTCCCTGAGCAAGACACTGAACCCCCGGCTCCCCGGGCGCCTGTCATTGGCAGCCCACTGCTCCCTATATACAGGGATGGGTCAAATGCAGAAGTCAAATTTCGTGTCTATGTATATGACAATAAAAAGGGTTTCTTTCTTCTCTTTATGCTAATAAGTTCAGTTAAACTGGTCATTAACGATTTTATTAGTTTTCTTCTAAACAGTACATTGTGAGTTTTGTGATGTAATACAAATGTCCCTTTATTATTTGAGAACATGTATTAAACTGCAACAATTATGTATTGAATGTCTATTGTGATTCTTTTATTTGTTGGGAATTAAATGCAAAGGTATGTATTGGGATTGCAAAGGGTTGTATTACCCTTTGTAAATAAACGGTAACATTCTGGCAAATACCGTAAAATCACGGTAAAACCCAGTTATCCTACTATCACATACCGTATTCCAGTATACGGTAAAATACCGTAAAAATAAATTACGGTAGTGCACCGTAAAAACAGTAAATTACTGGCATCCCTGCTGCCAGTAAGTTACCGTTAATTTACAGTGAAATAGTTTAGAATGTGCTCTAACTAAGGTTACATCTAGTTAGTTAACCCAATGACAAGCGGGCTGGTGGCCATCTGCAGCTCGGAGTGTAACCTGTGAAACAGCTGTTTTCTCCAGGAGATAGTACCTAAAGACAGAATTGCATAGTGAAAGTGAAGCTTATAGGAAATCAATCTAAAACGCAAAGGTGTCATTAACACAGCCATTGTTTGCATTGTGCAATCAACATTTACTTCATAATGATAAGTTAAATCCAAAAAAACGTGTCTATTGCCACTTTAATGAGTTAAATAAAAAGTTGAATAAGTCAATATAGAGTTTCTATCTGCAGTTCACAGGAGTTGGATGATAATTACTTTACATGCTGTCTGTTAACAGATGTTGATCCATGAGTTATTATGGAAAATCTAAATTTTTTGAATAATAAATCACAAGTTTGGAGTAATAAAAATAAAAGTATTGCGGGGAAATAATTAGATGCGGAGTAAACATTTCTATCTTTTCTTTACAGCAAAATTCCCTGTCACTCAATTTTCAGTTACAAAGTTACAATTAAGATTTCGGCTAATATCTCAGAATTTTTACACAACAATGTGGTCTTAAAGGTGATAGTGGTGACCTATAGATCTGAAAAAGTTGACATAATTAATTATCTTTGTACAGTTCCTTTTCAGGATAAAGTCTAACCCTTGTGCTCAGCTCAGTAACTTATATTTCCTCCACAGAATTTATGTATCAATAACAGCTGTACAGAATAATTCATGTAGCTGTTTACGTCATGAACTCCATGTGCTTTGATGAATGTATACGTCAGCTTTTTAGTGATATATCTTTAACACTTTACACTGTAAACTCTGCACCGTTCATCATCTGGAAAATGTTTCCCGTTAGGAATGATAAAATAAAACCAAATATCATGAAGAACCCATTGTAATGTACTCCTTCCACTGTTAGGAAATACAAATCTGTGATTTTAGGAGATAAAAGAAATAATTGAACATTATTCAATTATGGTTTTTTTTTCTGATGAACCAAGTTTATGGGAGGTGGAGGGTCGTTACATTATATATACCCTGATCTTAAAATTAACCCTTTATATGGATATATTGCAACTTTCCTCAGAGATTCACACACACACACACACACACACACACACACACACACACACACACATACACATATATATTATTATGAATATAATACTAGATTTTTTTTCTTCTCTTAACTTTTTGACTTTCCTATCACTGTGACCCTGTATAGTATGTCAAATATCATATTTTGATTTTATAAGCCAAGTCTATGACAATGTCTTTAAGTAAGTAAGTGAAAAACAATAAATACATAAATACAAATAAAACAGAAGTTATGGTTAGCCAAATCATTTTTAACTTGCCATATTACCCTATCAATTGAATTTTAGCCCTATAATGATGCAAATTACATTTTATTATAACATTTTATGATGTTTTTATTTTCCTGGACTGAATGTTTTATCATGCTGATATTGTGTTTTTGAAAGAATTCATATTTATTACAGACTTGTTTTTATAGACTTACTTAATGGATTTCTCTTTCACTTTGTTGAGACACTGTTCATCAGCTCAGATTGTTTCTATCTGTGTAAACTTTCTACAGTGTTGATCTGCTGCTGTGTTTTCTTATAAGTGTTGTAAGGGAAATTATCTGAAAACATTATGAACATTATTCTAAGAAGCACAGTCTTTAAGACCAGGTTTTTGTTGAACCAGTGTTTGCCTGTCTGTGTGCTTCATGTATTATTAAACTGTAGTTCCGTTACTGTGTTCGTGCAGTTATTGTGTTATGTTGGCAGAAACCTAAAATGATGGTTGTGAACAGAATGGTGATATAAACCTGCTCACTTCACCACTACGGTTAGAAAAAGCTGAATAGAACTTAATATTTATAAGACACAACTGAAATATGTGTGTCACAACAACTATCTGCCAAATGTAAAAATGAGCGACAGGAAGTTAACGGTTCTGATCAGTACATTCATATACACAGGCATAGATTAAGATCAAACCAATCAATAGCCTAATGCAAAACTAATAAACAAACATGAAGTAGTCACTAACGATGAACATCAAAAGCCAAAGTAAAGAGCTGGATCTTGAGCTTTGCTTTGAACAACTCAGTAGAGTAGTCACTGGTTCAAGTCCCCACATGGACCAAGTATGGAGCATGGACCGGTAGCTTGAGAGGTAACAGTTTTCCTCCTGTGCACTGCCGAGGTGCCAATTAGCAAGGCACCAGACCTCCAAAGAGCTTCCTGGCTACTTTGTAGTAATAGCTGCCTATCAGGATGGCTTACATGCAGAGGCTTTCACTGTGCGGACATTTTCACAATTTACTGTGGATGGGTCAGGAAAAGTATTCCCAGTTGGATTAATAGCTAATAGTGTTTATAGTGCAATAATGGAATTTGGGTCTATGGCAGTTGTTTGATATTAAATCGAAGAAGTATTTTATCCCCGCTGCTTTAAAGAAGGAAATTTGTAGCTCGTCTTTTTTTCCTTTCATTCGATAAAATATTTAAATGTTGACACTAGTGAACAAATCTCATGACGTTGTCTCGACCCTCCTCCTCCCATACACTAGGTGCTGCGGTTGCGTTTGATTATCTGTTGCAGGTGCTGATTGGAGGGTCGTCAGCTGAATGAGCCACACCTGAGCCGGTGTGGTCTGCTGCTAAATACCATCTTCATTTGGCAGTCTCGCTCTCTGGGAGAGGAGATCCTGTCAGCCACAATCATTTACACTGTTATTTGGGTTGTTATATTTTATTCACTGCTGCACACATCCATACATGCACCTCAGGACTGATACCAACCTTTTGTATTGTCTAAATTAGGTTTGTAAGAAAATAAACGTGCTTTTCTTAGCAGCCAGCTTGTTTGTCTCAGTCTCTGAGCCGGGCTGTGACATAAAAGATTGAAATGTTGACACTAGTGAACAAATCTCATGAAGTATTAGAAACATTTTACAGTTCACAGTGAAAGATTCTTTCACAGGAGGGTGTAAAAGTATAAAATCATGCATCATCTTATGAAGACCTGTAGAGCTTCAAGGTTAACAGTTCATACAACCTATATATTTTTAAAATCTTAATATGTAAATCAGATGTCATTAGTCTCAGTCCGGCTCTAAAACTGTGACAAAATTGGAGACACACGGTTATACTTTACAAATAGTGATTTATTTATCCAAAAGGAAGTCAAAATGAGTCACACAAATGGATGAGAGGAATCTGTGAAGTCAGTAGTGTAGGGAGTGGATGCAGGAAAATGTGCTGCATGTTTTGCTGTTGTGACGACCCTCCTCCTATCGTACGTTCGGTGCAGGTTGTGTCTCATCTGTTACAGGTGCTGAGTGGAGGATCGTCAGCAGGATGAGTCACACCTGTGCCGGTGTGGCTCATCCTTAAATACCCTTTCCATTTGGCAGGTGCAGGGGGGCTGGAAGGAAGACCTGTGTTGACGGGCTCACCACAATTGCTGCTTTATTTGTAAAAGTGCTGTTAACTTTTGGCGAGACAAATAAATGACTACTTTTGGCCGCCAGCTCATTGTCTCCCTGTTTTGTCTCAGTCTCTGAGCAGGGCTGTGACATATGGGGGCTCGTCCGTTTATGGTTGTCTGCATTGAAATAAACTCAGTAGCAGCGGTAACATGGTAGGCTGTGCGCCATTTGTTGATCGGTTGCGCAGAAAAATATTTTCATCACTTTTCAAACATAAAAAATATTATTGATGTGTTTGTGTTAATTAAAAAAGTATGTTTTTCAAACTTTTCTTCTCATCAGAAATCATCTGTTTATTGTTTACAGTCCAGTCAAAACCAGGCTCTGCCTCTGTTTTCTGTTAAAACAATAATATTTTGAAGAAATGTGGTTATTTCCAGCTTTGATGTTTGAATGTGAGTCCATTAGATGATCAGGTCCACTTCAGGGCACTTTACTTCCTGTCTAGGTTGAAGATTTCTTGGCTCTCAATGAGGATGAACTCCACAATTTGGTTCTGATAGACCATGTTGACTGCCATGTTTCCTGCGTCCAGCTCAGGCCACATCAGTGTTGGGCCAAACACGATGCCGATGCCCTGAGTTGACATCAGGTTCTTCCTGGAAAAGTCTAGAACTCTGAAAAACAACAGATATAACAGTAACTAAAGGGAAACATGAGAACGTTAGTTTACATTATGACACTAGGCCCGCCAAGACAGTCTCACAGACTGTTTGGGTTTTAATATGGCAAAATACTTGTTTAGACAAAAAAAGATCCTTCCTGTGTATTATGTCACTGCTCTCTTTGAAAAAGTAGAAGTAAAGTTGAAGATATGAATGCCTCATAACATAAGCGGTGATGTATTTCATTGACTCTCCAGCGGATGGGTCATCAGTTTTGCTAACTGAAAATACAAGAACTACACAGAACTACATATAGCTATGCCTTAAAAATAGTCCTTGGATACAAGATTGACTCATACATGTAAGTGTATTCATTTTTTAATTTCTACTGAATGTGACTTTTCAAATGGTTGACTGAGTTCTTCTTAAGTCTTCAGGTATGGTTCAGGTGGATGAAGGCTTACCTGTGCAGGTGGCTGAAGAGCAACTTCATGGTGTCCTTGTTGGGTTTGGGCAGTTCCTGGATCAGTTTCTTCACAGCCTGAACTTTGAGTTTGGATTCTTTAATCTCTGCAAGACAAAAAAACAGGGCAGTAGTTAAATAAATGCATTTTACTGTAGTTTGATATATTTAACATGCATTCAGTATTTTAGTTTAATATGTGTATAGTATTGCAGTATAATGTCCGTATATTAACGTAGTTAAACGTGTGTTATGGTATTGAAGTTTAACATGCATATAGTATTGTAGGATAACATGGTCAATATGTGCATTATAACGTCATTATAGTGTGTATAATTTGTGGGTTAACATGCTTAACATGTGTAATGTCATTAGACATGTATATAGTATTGTAGTTTATCAGGCATGTAGTATTCTAGTTTTACTTGCATAAAGTACTGTAAGTTTACGTGTTTAAAGATGCACAGATCAGCTCAGACATCATCTGAACGTCACCCACCCAAATACATGATTTTCTCCAATTTAGAGAGCAGTACATGCACATTTCCCTTCTTTAACAGTCATTGTAGACTGTGTTGCTTTTTTAAAATTGTGCAGGCTATTGATGTGTTTTCTTTAACAGTTTACTTTAATGATTACAGATGCAGCTTTCAGTAATCGTAGTCTAAAACAAGTCATGTCACTGCAGCAAATAGGGTGGGACGTTGAAGCAGCCGAACTAAAAACTGTAGGCCAGTTAAACACTTGACAGAAGTAACAGAACTAACTAACTACATCACATAACCCTAACCCTCTGAAATAATGAATCATGTTACGCTGCTGTACTTCATGTGTTAATGTCTGCTACAGAGAGAACACATTTGCATCCCGACTCATTACACACTGATACATCCCAACTCGTCGCTGGTAGATTAGTGCGTCAAAATATGGCGCTACACTACAGTCGCAGTAAACACATGGTACAAGTAGTACATACAAACACACACCTCGGTGTAGGCCACAAAACACTTAGATTTGGGAAAAGCCCAATGGCTGGGCTTGAAATAAATACGTTAAAAAACGTAAACAATTTAACACAATTATGTAAAACAAGTCACGTCAAAATAACTCGACAACACTGTGGAACAAGAAAACCAGTCTCAGACACCAGCCTCCTGGTTGAAAGTCATGTCTAAATATATATAATAATAATAATAATACATTTTATTTATATAGTGCTTTAAAAAGGCAATCAAAGACACTTTACATGGTAAAAACAGAAACAATAAAAGCATTTATAATAAGAACAGAATCGATGACATCATAACAGTAAGGAACAACATGAAAAGAAAGAAAGAAAACATACATAACTGACTTTACAGGTTAAAAGCAGATTTAAATAGGTGAGTTTTAAGTGCAGTTAGGGTTAGGGTTAATATATCATTTATTTTTTTTAGCCTTTATTCAAAGTCATCACACTCCTGGAGCAAATATCGCAGCTTGGTCAGTGCTCCTAGGTGTCCGACACTGAATTCCATTGATGACTGATGTTTGTCCAAACAGATAAAAAAAAATAAAAAAAGTTACAGCTCTGCGAGAAGTTATTTGCAGTTCGTCACAAAAAGCACATTTTTGTCAACTAATGTTTACCCCTGTCATAGCTGCTCATTGGTCCATTTTTGGTAATCATACCTGAGAGACCTGTCATTAATTTATCATTTCTTTTGTCGGTATTTTACCATATTTGTCTGTTTTATCTTTGTTTCACAGAGCGTTTTTCTTCTTGGGGAAGTTTTGTGAAGCATTTTGCAAAGCTTGTTTTGCAAAATGCAATGATAATGAAGTTATTATTACTATTTCTTAAGGGAAATAACTTTTGGGTAACAGAAAGCTACAAATTGATACATGTGTTTTTGTCTGAAAATTTCAGGAGGATCGATAACAGACAAATCCAATAGATCTAGCTAAAGAATCCCAAATAGGATGGGATGTCTAATAAAGATAAAGACATGAAGTTTAGTTTTTTTTATTTTGATCTTTTGTTTGTTTGACTTACTGACAGCCTCCACAAACAGCTGGAAGAACCTGAAGGGGAAAAGTGGCTCGGGCAGCTCCCGGAAAAACATCTTGAGGGCCCCGGTGACGACGTGGATGTCCTCCCACTGACTTTGGTCCAGGTCTAGGTCCTCCTCTAGGGAGAGAGACCAGAATAAGACAAGGGTCAGTTCATCATTTATTGTTTGATCAACAGTAATTTACATTTACTTAGGCTCCTTTTTCACATCAACATGTGACTTTCCAAAACTCTGACCACTAAATATTGTAGTACTAATTTGAGCCTCAAAATTTTACACAAAATGAAAACATCTGTATTACAAAAGGTAAAACACCACACAGTCAGTTCATCAGAACTTCACGTATGTTTATCACTGAATTTTAATCAGTTGTTTTCAAGATGAAATAACTTCAATAAATTATTAATTTTGTATATTTTGTTGGAAGATATCTGAGGCAGTAAAAACATGTTTAATGCAGAAAAATGAAGCTGACAGTATAAATGTTGAAAATCAAACATTTGTGTCATAAACAGGTAGTAGCTGTGCTTTACACCACGAGGAAAAAGGCTTTTGTTTTTGGCTAAATGTTGAAAAAGTAAACACATGCTTGACTTCTATAATAATTCCACATCTTTACTGAAGCACATTCAAGAGCTGTGAGAGACAAACACAAGAAGACAATCCTTCATCAGGATGTATTTTATGTGTGTGTCCAATGTGGGACGAACGTTCAATGGACATATTCATTAGGAACATTTTGCAACTTTTCCCCATTATGTTGAATAAACATAATCCTGGTGCAATTGTTTTTCTGTTCAAACATATTTTTTGTTGTAAATAAGTAAAATGTAATGTAGTTTTTAGATGACAGTCAAAGAGAAACAATATGTTTTTATTGAACTGACCCTCATCGACAATAAAGCGAAGTTTCTGGATTGTTGCCAGATTTCCACTAACTCTGTAGATCCCGTCAGCATCTAGACCTGAAACCACAAATAAACAATATACATATTATTAACAAAAAACACACACTGACTTCAATCAGCAATTTAAAATGTAAAAAGAAAGCTCTGTCATTTGGACGTAAAATATCCTAATACGTGTTGTCTCTGATTGTTAGTTCACTGGTTAATCACTGGATTCCTTTTGTCTTTGTCCACAAAACTGACATTCTTAGTTATTGTTGTGGTTTTAAATTATTCAATGTGAGAAAGAGCTCAGGTTGGTAATCTTCCAAAAAAAGGTTTTGTTATAGTTGTTGAAATCCCAACAGAAATCAGTAAACGCTATGAAAAACTAAAAAGTGGTTTCTGTTGCAGGACAATTTATTTATAGCTCTCAGCTAATAATTATTATACATTGTGAAGGCAGGTTTTTATTGTAATATGAAAAACATTTAATTCAACATGGGAACAAGCTGAGAATGAAAAAACCTTGTCTCTTCTGTCTCTACTGTGTCTATTGTGTCTCTACTCTCTCTACTTTTAATTCAACATGGGAACAAGCTGGGCATGAAAAAACAGAGACAGTGCCTGGATAGCCGAGTGGTTTAGGGTTACAGCACATTCAAATTGGACTTTAGGGCCTTTGTTGTACATCATATCCCTCTACTGTGTCTCCACTGTCTCTACACTGTCTCTACTGTGTCTCTACTCTGCCTACTGTGTATCTACTGTGTCTCTACTGTCCCTCCCCTCCCCTCCCCCTCCCTCTGTTAGTGAACCTACCTCGCTTGTCAACAGCATCCAGACAGATCTGAACAAACCTTGGCACCGTGGTTCCTTCACGTTCACAGAGAGTCAACAGATGGCAGCCGAAAACTCGATCTGAGACAAACATTATAACATTAACATTGATCAGTGTAGGTGACTATCGGCAACTTAAAATTAGTCACCGAGAGGCTAAGTAGGGGAGACCAACCTGCGGACGCGCTGGTTGTAAATGATTCGCGCATCCAGTGGCTGAGTTTGTATTTTTATTTGTAAACAACAAACAAACTTTGTGTGCAAACCCGCCTTCTCCTTGTTGTACAATGGTGATCGACAGTGATCAACAGCGTCAAGTAATGATAATAGTAGTGAAAATAGTGTATAGCGTGTAAATAGCAGTCAACAAAAAATAAGGCTCCCTCTCTCACCCCTCTCCTTCCATTCATCCAACTAAACTACGGAGCAGCATATATCCCCATTGTTATCCCCTACACCACTTGACTCAATTACTGGAAGTGACAAAAAAGGGTGTACAAATGGTTCAGGCCAAACCTGGCTCCTACAATCAGTGTGAGGTTTTATTTTTACCTTGTGAGTGTGTGTGTGCTGTCATGAGACACCTACTGTAGCAGGAACTACCACAGAACAGGTATCTGACGCGATAGTGTCACACCTGTGCAAGATGTAGTTATGAAACTTTGCATGTGTCTAGTTGAGATCGAAATGAAGGCCGAGTTTAAAGATGGATGAGGTCTTAGTGAGGGCACTGGAAGGGGGGGTTGCCGTTGGCCCCTTCCTCACTTTACGCCCCAGGCCTGATTTGGCATCGTGGCTGGTGTAATCCCATTGTGAGGTCATCTCTAGTTATTATTGCAACATGTTTAATGACTAATTGTTGATGTTATAGACCAGGGGTTGCCAATTGGCGGACCGCGGTCTGGATCCGGACCCAGACGCCGTTGTATCCGGACCCAGGACCTAAAATCGATTTTATTTTGACAGAGCGCTTCTATTTTACCCGGCGCAGCTTTTTCAGCCTTTACGGCACTTGTTCAGCGGTGCAGGAAACGCACTGACCAATGCGTTGTAAATCACATCACGTGATGCAGCTCAGCCAATCAAATATGGGTATTCTGACAAGTTTCCTGAATCGAGTGAGATCTACACACACCGGAGGAGAGACGAGGAAAGAGAAGGAAGAGCAGGAGAATAATACGTGAGTCAGAGAAGTTATTTCACATGAAGCTCTCCAAAGAGAGAAAAGTGGTCAAAGAGACCAGAGTCTTTAACCATTAATGAACAGACTCTTATAGGTTCATTCTTCACACGGACAGTTTATAACCAGTGTGTCTCATATGTGCAGAGACCGTGACGATTATTAAAAGCGGTAAATGAAGCGACACTACGAGACAAAGCACAACTCTTTTGAGCAAACGCACCCACTCACATCTGAATGAAGACACAGAAAATAAAGCTAAGAGCCCAATATGATCAGAATCCTAACACATGAATTCACTGACCAACAATGATGTTACCAGAGAGGATAGAGCTAAACAAGTTGTTTAATAACCACAGATAAAGTCCATGCACACTGATTTATCTTGTTAGAAGATGAGAGAAATATAATATTGTGGCTTTTTTGATTGACATCACTTCACACCTGAATGAACTGAATTTAAAGCTGCAGGACAAGTCAATGAAATACATTTTTCTAAAATGAATTACTTTATTTTAAGATGCACATTTTTGAAAAGCTTTCTGTTATGTCAGTTATTCTTTAATCCAGACATTATTTTACTTGAAATGAGAAGAACACTTATTTATGTATTTCTATGTATTATTTATAATCCATCCAGTTAAATTTGAAAAGTGAGAATAATAGTTAAAATATAATTGATGTACTTTCTTTATTTGATTTGACAGTTGTTGACTACACAGAGACGTTACTACTACTAGGCTTCTATATATATATATATATATATATATGGCACTAAATAGCGCAAGTTAGATATTATTGTAATGTTCCGGACTTTTGCCCGAGGACATTTTCTCAATCTGGACCTCTTGGAATTTTAATTGAATACCCCTGTTATAGAGGTTTTAATGACTAATCGACCAAACTCTTAGCTTTATAGGTCCTGTCTAAACCATACTTCACTATGTTTTGCTCCTTCAATAACTCATAGTGAATTTGCACATCATTCTTCTCCCACGCTACCTCATTTAATTATTAGAGGTTACAGAAGGTTTAATGACTAATTGTTAATGTAACATATAGCTAAATAACTAATGATAAAAAAGCTTTTATGATTAATTCAATGTTACAAAATCTTAAATGATTGGTCATGTTGCAACATGTTGAATAATAATCTTTAAGGTTCCAGAAGTTTGAATGACTAATTGGTAATGTTAAACAATAATTATAAACAGTTTAGTTGTTTCCCTAACTCCTACAGGGTTGTAACAGGATGGTTGTAACACCCTAAAAGCTATGTAAGGACACTCATATGTTCTAGGTTTAATGTGTGAGGAAAGAGCAGAAACCTTTGATGAGGCCTTTTTCCTTCAGAGTCTTCATGGACGGACGTCTGGTGATGAACTTCTTCAGTCTGTTCTTCACTCCGTTCTTGTCAGCGCTGTCGGAGGTGCTGTGTTTCAGCTTGGAGCTGCTGAACATATCTGCAGAAAAGAACATACACACTAAATCTGAAATACCTGAGATTTTTTTCCATTTGTTTTCAATAGTCAACATCCAGCAGTTACAGAGCAACATGATCTCCAATTGTGTGTGTCTGCTGCTGAGCTGGTAGTGACAGTGGGGTTCAGGACCTTTTATTCTGAAAATAGCTGCCATCTGCGGCCAAAAACAATGCTGTGAAAGTGGTGGAAGTGAACCAAAACAGGAATGTTATTGAAACCAAAACATGAAAGTTGTCATAAATCTCTGCAGAGTCTGCAGTCGGGTGATACTTGCCTTTGTGTCTTTCACTCAGAGTGATCATATCCAAATCAAAAGAAGACTACAACCAGCTGTCCTCTCAGATATTATCTATAGTAACAATGGGTTTGGGTGAGTTACTCACTGATGGAGCGTCTGTGGACTGGGTTGCGTTGCTTGGCGTTGGGGGAGGCGGAGCCATATCCAGGTAGAGAGCCGTGTCTGGGCAGGTACTCTGTGCTGTTTGATCTCCGCGGAGGAAGTTTAGTCTGAAAAGAAAAAGAGTTACAACGAATCCCAGGAAGGCTGTCATTTCACCAAGGATATAAAGAACATCATGGTTGCTCATTCTGAAAAACATTTAATTAACCAATGTCTCAGATAAACTTTTTTTCACTTACTAGTGTTTATTGCATATGTACATACACAAATAAAACAGAAATAGAACATCAGAACGTTCATCTGCAAAGAAGAGGATAGAGGTTACAACTAGTGATACAGTATATGCGACTGTGGCTAAGTGGATAGCAGGGTCGGCGGTTCAATCCCCGGCTCCGACCCTGCTAGTTGCGTGTCGATGTGTCGATGTGTCCTTGAGCAAGACACTTAACCCCAAAATTGCTCCCGTAGCTGTGCCTACGGTGTAGAAATGTGATAGACTCTGAATTGTCAGTCGCTTTGGATAAAAGTGTCTGCTAAATGACTAATGTATATTATTTGGGTATTCAAAATGTTATCCAATAATGTACATTGTTCTAAATCGAATTCATTGTTCCCATTTTCCGGGAAAACTCATCTTCTTTCACACTTTGTTTTGCAATGCTTTCCATCACAAATGTTTTCTGTACAATATCTAACCACTTCCACTTATATTGAACAGGTCTACAATGGAACCCTTCTCATAGATTACATATTGTAAACTTTGTTCAATACTAAATTCACTCAGAATGGTTCTATTTTTGGCCAACTGCAGAAAATATGAGCAAAATTTTTATCGGTTTGGCCACATTACCCTTCAGCATGATTGTTGCCTTTGAAGTTGTTTGCTTTTTATATTAAGTGTAATAAAGGAAAGGAATACAATTTTCAAATTAAATTGTCTCCGTTCATGTGAATTTGTGGATGTCTGTAGTGCTACAGACGTGATGAACGTGATGAACCTGAGATCAAAGGCAATGGCAGAGAAGCCTTCAAGGGCTTCTCTGCCATTGCCTTTGATCTTCCGGTTTTCTCCGGTTTTGTGGTTAGTTGTGGAGCTTAGTATTGTTTTTCTGTTTCTTCTGTGGATCAGTTGAGCTTTAATTTTGTCTTTAGTAAGGGGTTTTGTTTATTATTTTAGTCTTGGGAGACCCTGATATATTATGCCTCCATTTCTGAAATTGTATTCGGTTTATTTCTGTTAATCATCTTTGCCGTTTTGCGTTTGGTGTGATCCCATTGCAAGATGGTCTGTGGTTTACATTTTGTTGTCTCACCAAAACACAGCACATGTATTTGCATTGTGGTCTGATACATGCGCTAAGCCAATTCGGTTGCCATATCGTAATCTCCTTTTGCATTAAAATTGGTTGATTCTGAAATATTGTGATATTGGGTATAGTGTCTTGTTAGAGGATGAAAAGTCCTCCATACATCAAGAAAAGTAATTTCTTCACAGTATTAAGTAGCACATATACAAACTCCTTCTGCTTACTTTGCAATAGTATCACTATGGGTGAGGCACAGCTATTCACCAGTGACAGGATACCGTGTTCTTTGTCTTTCACTTCTTTAACATTTTCAAATTTAACTGAGGTTGATATCAAAGTTGCTACCCCTCGTTTGTGGCCATCAGTGGTGGGCCGTCAGGGCCTGCAAAGCCTTCTCTGCTGGCCTAAACAGAATCACAAAGCTATATCTATTTTATAATTGTTCTTAAATACACTACATGTATTATAATTTATAAAAATATTTCCCCATTATCTTATTTTCTCATTGCACAGCTACTGTCTTCCTCAGTTGCTCTGCTTCCAGTGCAGCTTGTTTTAAGTAGAGCTTTTATCCAATCAGATTTCACCTCTGTGTCTCTAGGTAAGAACAGAGGCCGAGGTCTGCAGACTCACAAGTGCATCCATGTGCAGTTTAAGTGAATGGGGACGATGTTGTTGATTATCATAGTGCTCAACCAATCAGATCTTTAGTTTGACATGTTGGGCGTATTCTTTGACGTGTCAGAGCCTGCTAGCTGGCCTACAAGTACGTCAGCATTACGTGCAGCTCAGTGTCCAGGTGCAGCTCTGCAGTGAGGTGCAGCGTGTGCTGTGATTGGTCAGTGGGCGAGCACGTGACTAAAGTGAAACTTGTGCTTGCTAGCAGAACTTAGGTTGTAGCAGTCAGAGTTCAAGTGGAAAGATATGGAAGAAATTATGGCATTTTTAGTTTTTATTTAACTAGCTTTGTTTTTTTAACATCAAATGGCGGAAGGAGGAGAAACCGATTTAGTGGCGGAGTTACTGGGAACGCCTTTCTCAAGAAGGACATTTCCGGACAAACTGGACATAGTAAGAAATGGCCGGCCAACCCCACAGAATACGTGATGTTACACCTCTAGAAACAAATAACCGTAGCTGTGGCGCCACCATGAGGTTATTAGGTGGTAAGACAGCAGTGAAGGCCCAGGTATAAAATGCACGGCCGGCCACTGGTGGCTATAGGTATGTGAGCTGTAGTAGATATTCTATGTCCACATTTTTTCAGCTTCTCATTCCCTTGTCATGATCAAGGGATTACCCAAACCATAAATATTTATAGAAATCAGTTTAAGTCCTTAACAATCCATCATTACACTTACAGTGATTGATTTTCACTGTATCCGCTCAATTGAACAATTCTGAATTGCAAACTGGAAGGTATACAAAAACAAAGGTGTTTTGCAGGGCAAAACAAAAACATAGATGAACTCCCAAAAAATGTAATTTTCTCTCCTCCATAGCTCCTGAATCCCTTTCATAAGTTGAGGGGGAAAGGCTGGCACAAAGAAAGAACACCTCCGAGAAATGGGGAACAACCCTCTGTGGGTCCCTCTGCTAATTGTAGCACTAATATTTTGTTTCCCTATTAGTCACATTTATCTAGCATTTAAAGTTGTATGAAATTAATATTACACTTACATGTAGTTTGTAATATAAGGTCATATTCTTTGAACAAGGCTTGAAGCAAAGGGATTTGTCTATGAATATGTACATAACCATGCAGCTATATCATGTTTGTAAACCTGAAAGTTCAATAACTGCAAGAAATCGGTATTATTCAAAACAGCGTATGTACCTTCATAATTATATTGCAGTTCAAGCATGAGTCTTTTGTTAAACTTCCTGGAAGTGCTCTTCTGACTGTCTCTGATTATCTGTGTTTCGACATGCTAACCCTAACCCTGTTCAGGCAGCAGAGGCACATCTCACTTTGTGGCCTCTCCGTCGCAGCTCTCGCACAGCTTCTCGTGAGTTGTTGTACATTTGGGGTCCGCTGTCTTAGTAAATATGAATCTTGGTGAATGGTGTCTGAAAACTGATTGTTCATATATCTGCTGCGCAAAGGATTGTGGGTCAGAATAGCCAGAAAAGCATGCTGGCTACAAAATGCGGTCTCCTGGTTGAAAGTCCTGTGTTTGACCCATCCACCATCCACCATAATCCTTCTAACTGTTTATACCACGTTACTAGCTTAGAGCATACCATATTCACGTGCATCCATTTAATTTGTGTCTACACCATGAAAAAGGATCCTAATTGACTTTTCATTGGAATTCTCTCATTGGTGCCCACACGTAATTTTAACACATGTGCGACCACCACGTAATGTACTGTCAAGAGGTGGTGGTCATTTCACGTATTTCTGTGAGATCATATTTAACAGAAAACTGAATATCTTTGGGGTTTGGTGTCACAGTTCAGCTCCACACCCTCCTCACTCTACTTGTCAGTCACTCCCTCCTCATCAGTCTAACTCCCTTCACCTGTTCACTCGCCTGCCTCTGATCATTAATCAAGCCCCTATATAGACTCCTGCCTCCCAGACTCTCATTGCCAGATTGTTCTTCGGTTTTCAATGCCAGACTCTCCAGCACGCTCTCACGGACTGATCTCCTATTACCGACCCTGCCTGCCCCTGTTCTACCCGCCTTGCCTGACTCCCGGTAAACCCACCAGCCTTCTGTATCTGGTCCATATACAACCGGTTACATTTGGACTGTTGGTCATAGAAAACAAGACATTTGAAGAAACTGAGAAACTGGGATGGACATTTTGAAAATGATTAATCCAAAAAACAATGAAGACACTGAATTATATCCAAAATAATAGCTAGTTTAAGTAGTGAGTTCTTACAGAAGAGTCAACGGTCTTCCTGATAGCATCGTACCATTTAATGGCAGTGGAGTAGCTGTCAGTCTGGAGGAGGTACTCACTTCCTGTGTTTGTTGTGATCTGGAACAGATGAGAATAGTTGGGTACACGTACATACGTATATACACGTACATACGTATGTACGTGTATATACGTATGTACGTGTATATACGTATGTATACATATACACGCGTATGTATATATACGTATATACGTATATACGTGTGTATATATACGTGTATGTATATATACGTATATACGTATATACGTGTGTGTATATACGTGTGTGTATATACGTGTATATGTATACGTATATGTATATGTATATACGTATATACGTGTATACGTGTATGTGTATGTGTATACGTGTATGTGTATACGTGTATGTGTATACGTGTATACGTATATACGTGTATGTGTATATGTATATATGTGTATGTGTATATGTATATACGTGTATATGTATGTATGTGTATATACGTGTATACGTGTATACGTGTATACGTGTATACGTATATGTGTATATGTATATACGTGTATGTGTATATGTGTATACGTGTATGTATATACGTGTATGTATATGTATATACGTGTATATGTATGTGTATGTATATACGTGTATATGTATGTGTATGTATATACGTGTATA